GCCTCTCCGTGTTTCTGAGGTCTTCCAGGCAGTATACCTCTCGTACCTTAGAAAGCCAAAGTGCAATAGTAGGAGGACATGTTTGTTTCCACAGCAGAGGGATAGATGCTCTGGCTGCGTCTAACAGGTGGCGTGTGAGTGAGTGCCTGTAAGTGGAGAGTGGAGCTGCTGACATGTGCAAAAGACATGCCGCCGGGTTATTTCTCAGATCCGCCATGGTCAGGTCTTGGATAACAGACAGCACCTGGTCCCAGAAGGATCTCAACTGCGGGCAGGACCAGAAAGTATGCGACATTGTACCTGAAGCCGAGCCACAGCGCCAGCATGTATCTGGGATGGTGGGTCTCATTTTATGCAGGAGCAACATCACTATTTAAAGAACCCTTATGTTTCTAAATAGCTACAAATGTTTTTTCAGATCTGTTTCATTTAAGCTCTGGTTCACACCTAGGCAGCACCGTTTTTGTGCGTTTGTTCGCGCGTTAGCAGCATGCGGTTATTTGCACATTGTGCATATTTCTATGCGCGTTTTAACGTTCATACATGAAGACGTGCGTTTTGATTGGCAGCTCGTAAACCATTGTGGGCAATGGAAGAACGCGTGTGTAAACGCGCAAAAACACTCACGAAAAATGTGCAACATGCTTCTGTTGTGCGTTTTTGAGCATTTTAATGAAGTCTATGGGGAGGAAAAGCTCCTGTATCTTTTCAGGCGTCTGGCATTTTCCCGCTAGACGTTTTTCTGCTCAGGTGTGAACCAGGGCCATTGAAAATCATTGTGTTGGGCAGTTCAGATCGCTTTTCGAACTGCTCAAAAACGCCTAGGTGTGAACCAGGGCTTAGATATATCACGTTAAAAAAAGAATAAATGAATGATTCTCTTCAACAAAAAAAGAACCTCCATAATCCCATTAGAAATAGCCCTGAAGTAGATGTATCATGTAGGTGAGAAACACAGTGAGAGCAGCTGTAGGTTAGAATAATTTCTTTTTTACACAAGCGGCAAAGGGGTTTTAGGTGAGCGGTGAAAACATGGATTAACCGCCTGCTTTTACCGCCCACCTAAAACCTAACATGGCAGCCACTCTGGTCCATACACATGTAGCATCAAATTGTATACATACCAGCCTGAAGTGAATAGCCGAACAGCGTTCAGCTCACTTCACTTTAGGTCGGTCTTTCACTCGGCTGCCTAAGGCAGCTTAGTGAATAGACCCCGTAGTCTGAAAGGTTTTTGGGTCTCATTGGAAATCATTGAAGATATAGAAAAATTGTGAACAATTTGATACCAACATAAGTCAGAGAATATTCGTACTACTGGCAGTCTTGGAAAAAAGATATATATACCTCTTTTAAAAAGGAAAATGTATTTTATTTATTGCAGTGCTGTAGGAAATAACAAAAACACAGCCTAAAGAACTTAAAAAAAGATGCACTGGCAATAAAAAAGGACACTTTCACAGACAATGACAAATAAATACACAATGTCTGAAGTTTTGTAGACAAAACAGAAGAACATTTTCCTGAGCCAAAAGATTTGTTTTCTGCAACTATAATTACATTATTGTCCTATACAAGGTCACATTATGGTAGGTAATCGGATTGCAATTTGGTTAGTAATCTCATAAATAGTTAGTATTTCAATGAATTAAAAAAGGCAAACAGAACATTCTTGAACCTTCCGAGACGCATTTCAAATGATAAATACGTAAAGTATATTTTGCTTAAAAGGGGCCTATAGCCTTGTTTCAGCTATACTGTCCTAACAATTGTGCTTATATTTTATATCCCTTGTTTTTATGTTTAGTTTTTGTAATACAGTAACCACCCACGGGGATCGGTAGATGCCTGATAGCTGTAGTTTCTGGTTGCTTGAGAGTTATTAGTAACTCTCAAGCAACCTCCCTGCGGCACCCCCTGAGAGAGAAAGTGGGCAGGTGTAATAATTGGCCTCCTCTGCTCAGTGGGCAGGTGCAATAACCAACTTGCTAGTGGAAGTTGAAATAGCCAATAGCAGACTGGCCATTACTTTCCATTTTGTTGTTTGAATGCTGTTTAGAACATTCTTAACACTATTGGGAGCAGAATCAGATTCTTTATATCTTGTTCGAGATAAATGGTATGTAAAATCTGATTAGTTCGTATGGGAAACACAGACAATTTGCATTCAGTCTCCTTTCACATGTAACACAGATAATACAAGACCAAACTACTGTGTGTACAGCAGGGCTGGAGAAATCCCAACACCCAGGTAGGAAATGCTCCTTTTAAAGTTTTCTCTACTTGTTGGTAGTAGAGGAAGGAGAAGGAGGTCTGCATATCATAGCACCCTATTACTTGGAGGGGGGATTACAGGACTAAAAGAAAGCAGTCTGGCATACATTCACTTGGAGGTGCCTTTAATCTAGTATAAGAATTTTACTTTTCATTCATAGCAATTCACTTTCATAAAATGTCCATAAGTATAGAGCTTTGGTGCAATAGGTCATCATATCTGCAATCTGTGTCTATGTATTGTCAAATCCTAAACCGGGGGTCTCTACCTTGTCCTTGTATGTGGCCCAACATAGGGTCTGCCCTATTCCTTCAAACAAGATTCTTCTTAAAATGCTACAGGATTCACATTTATTTTACTTAACAATTGTCTAAACAAAAAAACAGACAGATGGACCCCCTGCTGAGTCGGATCAGAACAGAGATGGATGTCACATATGTCTGTTCAGATTTTTTCTCCATCTTGGAATGAAGCAAAGAGACCTGAATATAACAATTTTGTCTCAGTTTCCGAAATCTAGGGGAACTACTAATAAACAAACTGGCTGTTCTCCTAAAAATAATGAGCTGTTTGCACCCGCCCTCTGTGAAGAATATTGTAAATCATGGGATCTGTGCACACACCAAGTGCTTTAGGAGTATAACATGATACAAAGGAGGGAAATGTATATTGGTTCATGGGGGCAAAGCTTTTGTTTTGTTTCTGATTCAGATCTCTGAACAATGACATACTGAGGAATAGAACTATCTACAAACATAAGCTAAGGTGGTTAGGCTTTTTAGTCAATTTCTACATATGCCTTTTTTTCAGGCTGAAACTGAATTTTGCTTATTCAGTATGCCAGGGCACATGATGATGTGAAAAAAGTGGAACTACCCACAAGGTGCAATCAGATATCTTTTTTTCACAGGCTTCTTTAAATTAACCTTAAAGGAAACCTGTCACCGTAGCTGTTACCTATAACAGTTGGGGCTTGTATGCAGCCATGGAAACTACTACACGGCCAGGGTTATTTCTGAAACACAGCACGAAAGCAAGGTGAGTTTCCTGAAGCTAACACCTCTTTGGTGGATCAGGCAATAGTAGCCTTCAGTGCTGAATTGGAGACCCAGTTATAAGTTGATTGTTTGCTGTGTATAACTACATTGAGCATCATCAGTGCTTTCTTCACCAAGTTACTGATTAAGGCTAGATACCTTTAACTGCCCAGGAATTGTTTTAATGAAATCAATTGAAGTCTGCGTGTCTCCTGTTGGTTTTTAAACCACATTCAATGGTCAGCTTATCCATTGAAGTACAACCTGAAACACCTTTGTGTTGCCACCTAAAATGCATATTTACTCAGGAATAATTTCAAATTATATATCACTCTGGCATCCTCACTTGTATTTTGTAAAGTCTTTCCTCTTCGGTGTACATCAGTGTTCGTACTGTATTTATTTACAGTATCTTTAAAAACAAGGGAACAATCAAAGGGAAATAATATCTAGTATCCATATAGTTATAATCTATTACATAGCTATCCCTTATAACCGATCAACAGTTATCAGTGCAGAGTAGTCAGAGTATGAGAAATGATTTATGATTGGCGATTTTGTTTATAGTATTTTGGCCTTTGCTCTTTGAGTTATTAGATAAAAATTAAATATAAATGAAGTGCAGCACAGATATAAAAGTAGAATATAAAAGTAGAATATCCTAGTAGAGCAACATGTGTGTATATTTTTTTTGCTCAAAGCAAATAAGAAAATGTCCATTCAAGAAGTAAGGCACCTCTAGTCACAGGGAATTACCCTCCTTAGGAGGAATTACAAGGACAGTTATAAACAGGCTAAACATATGTGTGCTTCGTCAGTATATATATATACAGGTGAAACTCGAATAATTAGAATATCGTGCAAAAGTAATTGCAGTAAGTGCTCCAAAAGGGGCCCAAACCAAGTACTGAGTACATATGCATGCTTGTACTTTTCAGAGGTCCGATATTGTTCTATGTACAATCCTTGTTTTATTGATTATTACATGCAATCTACTTTTTTGAGGTTGTGGATTTGGGGTTCTTGGGGTTTTCATGAGCTGTAAGCCATAATCATCACAATTATGACAAATCACGGCTTGAATTATCTTGCTTTGCATGTAATGAGTCTATCTCATATATTAGTTTCACCTTTTAAGTTGCATTAGTGAAATAAATGAACTTTGCACGATATTCTAATTATTCGAGTTTCACCTGTATAATGTCAGGAAATCGTTCCACAAGTAATGTGTTCATTCACTCAGAAAGGTCAGAAGGGTCATCTCAAATTAATTTCATAAATGTTTTATGGGGGCTAGATGTATTTTTACTGAGATACTGCAAATCTAAAATGATTCACATACAGTATGCCATAGTCATGCCATATGACTATGTATGAAGTAAGACCAAGATCAGATCAGTGTCATTGGATATAAACAAACAATCAGACAGGGTGGAAACATTCACATAGCATTCTAAATATGCACTGTTCAATAAATGTACATGACAGGTGAAAAAGTATTTTTTTAGGGTATTATAGCTCGTCACAGAACTAGAAGAAGCTTTCATGCACTGGTACCGTATAGAGGCCTTTCAAGGACCAGATGCAGGCACCTCTGCTTACTGGATGTAAAGCTTCCAGGTTTTGATTGCAGTAGTACTGCAATCAAAGTTAAGCAACTTTTTATGTTGAGGGTGTTGCGTGCTTCAAATGAACACAGCGCCATTTCTGCTTATAGCAGCTGTGCTCCCATTCTATGCTTTCAGATTACCATTTCCCTGGTTTACACTTAACACTGCAGCTGGCTGTCATGAATTCAATCTTGCTTCAATTTGTCCAATAATCTGCTACAGCTGTACACACATACATCACTGTATGAGACATTCATTATAATGGAGCTTCCCCTTGTAGCTTAGACCATATAAACGTTCTTGTGTTACTACACTGCAGCAGGGCCAGCACTGTAGAAGTTGCGCCTCTGATACAAGGTTCTCTAGTAGGCTGTGTGTAACCTGAATTCAAGTTAGGAAGATCTAGAGATAACATATAGATCAAGAAACTCTAAAGCTCTTCTCCTGGAGTTAAATTTTCTGTTTCTTCTGAGACTTCACTTACGAGGTCAGAACTGATACCTGTAAAAGAAAATAGTCTATGTGAGTGCACACAACAACAATGTACATGTGTCGATAGTAATATGTAAGTTCTGAGGAATGTCAGAGCAGTGAGCAAAATGCCGACTATACAAACACTTCCCACCTTAGAGGGAATGTAAGTTGGTTTTGTACATATTCTTTCCTTACACATTATTATAGTCAAGAAAAAAAAAATGACACTTTTAAAAATAGATTTACTTCTTTTCAACTAGGTATGTATGAAATATTAAATACACATATTTTATATTCTTTATATCCAGCTTTTTGAGTATTCAGATTGTAGTCCATCACAGGAGTGAGCTTGGAGTGATGGCTACTTTATAACACACACAGGGACCATGGGGGACAAAAGTAGCCACCCTCCAGAAGGAAGGACAGTGTCAGCACCAATTCAGAGATGATTTAAGGATCTGCATCTGAGTGATACACAAGTAAGATACATTTTTGTTAATAGTTACCGTATTTTGCGGTCCATAAGACGCACCGGACAATAGGACGCAGGGAGGTCCGGCGCGCCTTATGGAGCACTCGACAGACTGTAGCTTCTGACACAGCTTCTATGACAGAAGCTGTGACAGAAGCTGCAGTTAGTGACCGCTGAGACAGGTGGCGCTGTGATTACAGCGCCACGGTCTCAGTGATCACACAGAGCAGACGAAGAAAGTCCGTTCTTCGTCTGCTCTATGGTGATCTCCATCGTCGCCGCTGCTCGGTTTTAATACAAGTGATCTCATTAGATCACTCGTATTAAACGAGCAGTGGCTCCTACCGTACTACTCGCCCGGCGCCCGAAACTGCATGTCTCGGGCGTCGGGATTCGCTCCATAAGACGCAGGCACATTTTCCCCCTCCTTTTGGGGGGAAAAAAGTGCGTCTTATGGAGCGAAAAATACGGTAGTTCCTGAGTTTAGTGTCATTTTAACATAAATTGTGTCTGTGTGAAAATATTAATTGTGCATGTATGAAATATTATCTGTGTGAAAATATTAATTGTGTATGTATGAAATATTAAATACAAATATTTTATATTCTTTATATCCAGCTTTTTGAGTATTCAGATTGCAGTCCATCACGGGAGTGAGCTTGGAGCGGTGGCTACTTTATAACACACACAGGGACCTTGAGGAACAAAGGTAGCCACCCTCCAGAGGGAAGGACAGTGTCAGCACCAATTCAGAGATTTAAGGATCTGCATCCGAGTGATACACAAATAAGATATATTCTTGTTAATAGTTAGTTCCTGAGTTTAGTGTCACTTTAACATAAATTGTGTCTGTGACACACG